GCAAAGGGTACTGTGCAGACAAGCTTAAGGGATCTGAAAGACATCCCAGACCCAGCCACTTGGAAGGGGCCTAATTTGCACACACACCCAGACCAAGCTGAGTCTGCGATTGATCCACCAAGATCTGTAAGAGTAATCTTGGCTCTGAGAGAGTTTAAAAAAGAAACTTTCAGCATGCCTTTTATGTCCTCCTTGCCCATCTAATCAAGCCAACCTTGTCAAACCAATTAGGCCAGTTGTAAACCATCAGTAAAGAGACTCACTCTGAGATCCCTGAGGAGTTTGACCTTATTCAGTATAATCATAAATCTAACTGCCCTATCTTGTCCTAGAGCCAAAAATCAGATCCAGGCATCCCCAGAGATTAAGGTAGAGTTTTTCCATTTCAGCTATAAATCAAGTATGTCTCCACATTGATTCCTCTACTATTTTTGAATTTTCAATTTTATTGACTTCTACCCTTATCATTATTATTGTTTTCTTCTGCTAGCTGTGGGATTATTTTGCCCTTATTGTTAAGGTTTATAATATGGTTTATCTTGGTAAATTTTCCTTGTTCTCTTGAAAAGAGGGTTTTATTCTGCTGTCGAGTGAAATTTTATTATCAATGTCAATTTGATCCATTTGATTGGTGATGTCATTCAGTTATTTTATATCCTTGCTGATTTTATCTCTGCTACTATCTATAACTGAGAGAGGAATTTTGAAGTCTCCAAGTATAATTGTGAAATTTTCTTTCTCCTTTTAATTTTGTCAGTGTTTTGTTTCGAAGTATCTGTGGTTGAAGCATGGACATTAGGATAATTCTGTTTTCTTGGTGAATTGACACTTCTATCATTATGTGATTTTCCTCTTTATCTATGGTAATTTTCTTTGTTCTGTAGTCTACTTTGTCTGACAGTATATAGGTGTTCCAGCTTTCTTATGATTTATTCTTGCATTTTATGTTTATTTCCATACTTTTACTTTTAAGATACCTATATCATTATAGTTAAAAAGAGATTTTTAGACAGCATAATTGTTGACTTGTTTTAAAATTCTTACAATCTGTCTTTTAAATGATGTATTTAGACAACTTACATTTAATGTAATTATTGATATGTTTGGTTTTAGGACTACCATTTTGTTTTCTGTTTGTTTCCTTCATTTGGTTTCTCTTTTTACCCAGTTTTACCTTCTTTCAGGTTATTTGAACATTTCTTACTATTCCATTGAATTTTTTCTCTTGTATTTTTGGTTATATAGCTTTGTCTTTTTTTTTCTCAGTGGTTGTTCTAGGAATTACCAAAAACATATTTAACTTCTCACAGTTTACAAAAAATCAGTATTGTACCACTTCAAGAGGAATGCAGAAACTTTATCACTGTAGTGAACTGTATACTTTCCCCTCTTTATTGTACTTTTCTTATGTCTTGCATCTATATCAATTCAAAAATTCATCAGAAAATGTTATAATTTTTCTTTCAACCAGCCAAGTACATTTTAAAGAACTCAAGAAAAGAAAAATCTATTATATTTACTCAAATATTTACATTTTTGTTATTCCTCCAGTTCTTTCTGGCTAAAGAACTTCTTTTAACAATTTTTTTTTGAATTAAGTCTGCTGGCAACAAATTTCCTAGCTTTCCTTTTATCTGAGAATGTCTTTATTTTACCTTCATTTCTGAAAGATATTTTTTTGGATATAGAAATCTGGATTTGATAGTTTTTTTCTTTTAATACTTTAATAATGTTGTTTCACTTCTTCTTGGCCTCCATGGTTCTGATGAAAAATCTTCAGTCATTTCGATTGTTGTTCTCCTGTAAATAATGGGTCATTTCCTCTAGCTGCTTTAAAGATTTTTTTTCTTTGTCTTTGGTTTTAAACAATGTGATTATGTTGTGTCTAGACATTGATTTGAGTTTTTCCTTCTTGCAGTTGGTTGAGTTTCTTGAATCTGCAGGTCTATGTTTTTAACCATATTTTGGGAGTTTTGACCAGTATTTCTTCAAATATTACTTCCTGTAGTATACTCCTTTTCTTTTCCTTCTGTTGACTTTGATATGATTGTTAGACCTCTTGGTATTGTCCCACAGGTCTTTGCAACTGTTTTCCACTATTTTTTATCTCTCTGTAGCTTATAGTAACTAATTTCTATTGATCTATTGTCTGTGGACACTGAAATTTGAATTTCACATAATTTTCATGTGTTATGAATTAGTATTCTTTTTATTTTTTTTAACCATTTAAAAATGCAGAAACCATTCTTAGATTATGGGCCATGCAAAGACAGTCAGTGAGCCAGTTTGGCCCACAGGCTTAGTTTGCCAATTCTTAATTTAGTCCCATCCGTGATGGAGATGACTAGAAAGTAGGTTTTAATTCCTTCCATTTCCAGGTTACCTTTTCTGCCACAGTGCAGTATCCTTGAGGTCCTTATTCAAAGTCTGAGGTATTTTATCAGGAGCCTCTTCTCCTTCGCAGGCCTTGAACTCCAATTTTATTTATTTATTTATTTTTTGGGCTATTGGCTGCTGCTTTTACAATCAGTGTAGGGACTTAAGGTAAAGTAGCTCCAAAAGCCTTGGCTTGGCTTCTTTTCTTGACCTAAACTTGGCCTCTCAGTTCTTCACTATTTCAGTAGCTCTCCAGTCCTCTCAAACAGAAGTTTGTGGGGGTTTTTTGTTGTTATTACGTTTCATCTAGCTTTTTCAGTGGTTTGCAATGGAAGAGTTGGTTGGATTCACCTATTTTACCGTTGTTTGAAGTAGAAAAGCTCTCGCCAAATCAGTTTTGCAACTTTAAAATAATACTCTCCTGCCTGCCAGACTACATTCTTTGAAGAATAACTTTTGATAATATATGTAGAGGGGAAATTAAACCTGAAAATGCTACTCAAATGAAAAGTAGCATTTTTTTAAATTTTTGTTTTTTAATTTTTAAAAAATCAACTTTATGGATATATAGTTTACATACAATAAAATGCACAGGTTTTAAATATGTAGTTCAATGAAATATCAGGAAATTAAACATTTCTATAACGTCCCAAAGTTCCTCCTTTCCCCTTTGCAGTCAATCTTCCCCAACCCCTGCCACAGGCATCCACTGCTCAGATTTATAGCATTATAGATTGTGTCCATCTCTAGAAATTTATGTAAATGGAATCATTATATAAATGGAATGCATGTATATAAAACATGTCTGGCCTTTTTAGTTTGACAAAATGTTTTACAAATGCTCTGTTGCATGTATTGTAGTAAATTCCTTTTTATTGCTGAACGGTAATTGTCTGAGTAAATTCGTTTAACAATTCTCCTTTTGATGGAACATTGGGATTGTTTCTAGTTTTTGGCTATTATGAATAGAGCTGCCTCAAACAATTTTTGATCAATTTTTTTGTGGATATATGTTTTCATTTCTCTTGGGTTAATACCTAGGAGTGTAATTTCTGAGTCATAAGGTAGTTGTATGTTTAACTTCATAAGAAACTGCCAAATTGTCTTCCAAAATGGCTGTACCATTTTGCATCCTTGCCAACAACGTATGAGGACTCTGGTTGCTCCACATCCTCACAATGTCATGGCATTGTTAATTTTTTAATTTTAGTATTCTAATGGGTGTGAAATGGCACCTTGTGGTTTGTATTTGTATGATACTGATGACTAATGATGTTAAGCTTCTTTTGATGTGCTTACTGTCTATTTGTCCATCTTATTTTGTTAAGTTTTTCACAAAACTTAACCAATTTCTTAAAACTGGGTTTTGGTTGTCTTGTTATTGAGGTATGAGTTCTCTATATATGTTCTGCACACAATTTATTTGTCAGATATATGTATTGCAAAACTGTTCTCCCAGATAGTAATTTGCCTTTTCATTTTTAAATGATACCTTTGGAAAAATGAATGTTTTTAATTTTGATGAATTCCAATTGTTGTTTCTTTTATAGTTAGTGCTTTTTGTGTCCTCTCTGAAATCTTTGCTTACTCACTTGGTCATGAAGATATTTTTCTATGTTTTCTTCCAGGACCTTTATAGCTCTAGCTTTATATGTAGATTGAAAGACTGTACATGTAAACTGTTATTTTCTTAAAAATCAGTGTTGTTTCCTTTGTTGACCTGTCAGAGGGTAGTGGTCAAGTGCTTGTCACATGGTGTTTCAAAAGGTAAAGTACTTCAAATGGCTGTCCAGGACATTTTTAAGTCATAGTTAGGGTGGATTTTTACTTTACTTTCCTCCTTTCCTTGCTCCCTTTCTTTCCCCCCTCTCTCTCCTTCCTTGCTTCATTCCTTTTTCCTTCCTTCTTTTTAAAAAAAAATCTATATGCCTTTCTAACATTATAGTATTGTATGGTTTAATAGCTGGGATTTTTAGATGATAAAATATTCCCTAGGTAATTAGTTCTTGAGATCAGATAATGGAATACTCTTTTATAATGGCGTATTTGCATCAGTGGTCTTGTGTACCCTAGTGATATTGTAATTGATGTTTGTTTGTTTATTATACTACAAGAAATTACTTGGGAAAGATATGGGACTTCATGCAGTGTCACATACAACTATAACTCATGGCCAGTTTTTATATGGAAAAAATAGCTCTTAGTAATGTGGTTTGGGTAGAAAAATAATTCTCTCTGATCAAGAGAGAATTGGAATTTTGCATTGTAAAATGAAATTCCCTCATATATTTATGATACAACTTTTTTGAAATGGCAAATATAGCATAGCCTAATTATTATGATGGGAGGAAAGTGTATGCTGTGTTCTAGTTGGGATACTATCATTCTGAAAGCTGAAATTTCCAATAGAAGTTTGCTACGATGTAGATTTAAAAATCCTATTTCGTAGTAACATTTCTTAAATCTGTTTTATAGCCTCTTGAGGTTACAACTTCTTACTGTGCTGTTGATTGAATGGTCTGAATGAAATATCTCTTTAGGTCTATTTCCCACTGCCTCAAATGCATCTTACAGGAAATGTACTCTTGCTTGGGCTAAAAAACTGTGCTTTTTCTTTGCCATAGGATAAGAAATGGGTTCTCAATCATGAAGATGTCACATTGGGAGAATTACTGGGCAAGGTATGTAATAAACTAAGCTAAATAATCAGAAGTCTTTATAGGGATTGTGAACTCTACAGATTTCCTTCATGTTCTTCAAAGCCTTTTTTTATATTCCAGCACACAACAAGGCACATTCCCACATTAATCTAGAAGAACACAATACCACATCTGTTAAAATACTGTGACGGTCACTAAAATAGATGTCTGAAAATCTTTGAAAGGCTTAAGGATGATTCTTGTTAAAATAGTATGTATATGTATCTTTTCCTCTGGAAGGGCTAAAAGCCATAATGATTTTATTACAGTGTAGTAAAGCCAAAACTAGTGAGCTGAGATTTAAAAAGAAACTGTGGGTAATAAGTTTAAATAAATACCTAAATAACCTTGTTCCATTTGTTTCTGATTATATACAATAGTTCAGAAAAAGTGAAATATGCCTCTTTGGGATTTCAGGATTGTATATAGAATCAAAATATGTAACAACGTTAGACACATTACTTCAATCTAAAAATTATGTGGACAAGACACATGTTACAATATAAATATTCATTTTGTAGTTAACTCTAGTAGTGGTGAGAGAGGGAAGCTATATATAATGAAGGTCTCTTTCTTCCAATCTAGTTGGAAGTTTCTTCCAACTCATAGGCCATACGAAAGTATATTATATCTAACAATAATGGAAGACATTTTATAGTTATTAATCAAATGGACTATTTGCAAATTTATTAGTAATTGTTTATTTATAATTGAGTTCCAGTGGGTAAATATTAACTTCTTTGTCAATGACTTAGTGATATTTTCATATGAAAGTGTGAATTAAGTTTAGGTTCATAATGCAATGTGAAAAAGAGTATAAAATCCAGATAATTAGGGAAAACTATCACTCACAGATTTTTGAGTGATCAGTGCTAGACTTAAAGCTCAGGATTTTAAGAATTAATGTTGCTTAATGAACATTAATGTTAATTGAATGATTAATGTTGAATGAATGATCATTCCTTCTTTTTGGATTCAAATGTAAACTTGAGTTGACAGTTTTTTCGCTATTTTTTAGCTATGATGTATGTTGAGAAAGTAAATCCCTGTTGAAGTCATCTACTTTGCAGGATTCTTATTATTTTAAAATATCTTTTCCAAATGGAAGCATTAAATTGCTATTGGAAAGCAGTTTTTATTGACTGCTAATACTTATTTCGTAAGTAAATTCTAAAGAATCTCAAGCTAAAAGCAGTAGCTGATATGTCTTAATTTTCTCTGTGATGTGTTTGCATTCTTAAGGAAATATTCCTTCTTTCCATTACTTTAGGTCAATAACTTGGTAGCAGTGATTGGGCTAAAAATCATTACAAAGAAATTTAATTTCCATGAAAATATAATTAGATAATAAATTGTAAAATTAAACCCCTTACTGAAATAGAATGTGTTGAGAAGATTTTTCAGTACTAAGGAAAAATTATTTTCAGTTAAAGAGAAGTATTTCAATTATTTGTTTTCATACATGAAATATGGTACATTAGGAGGAATTTTAGCCTTTAGCTCCTTAGTAAGGCTATTTCAAACACTAATTATTTTCTCAATAAGGCAGTAGAATGATGTCAGTTTCAATAAATTTAATCATTTTTAATACGACTCTAGCTTTACAATCACTGTATGGCTTAATTTCAGTTAATATTTTTGAGTAGAAAATGATTTGTTATTTAATATTTTCACTACATATTCTGAATAAATATTTACAATACAATATACTGCTTGAGAGTGCATGAGTAAAAGAGTTAGCTATTGTTCCTACACTTACGGACTTCAGAATTTTGTAGTAATATAAGCTTGAGCAGGAACTCGAATGTTTTTTATTCAGCACTTTATTCTTCGTAGACTGTGCTTGATATATAGTTGGTATTCAATAGATATTTTATTTACTCCTCAAATATTTGTTGACTGCCTACTATGTGCCAGGCACTCTTCTAGGAACTTGGAATACATCAGTGAACAAATCAGACAAATATTCTTGTCCTTATAGAATTTATATTCTATCTAGCAGGGGAAGACAGATAAACAATAAGCGTAATAAATAGGTAAATTTTATAATGTTAGAGGGTGCTAAGTCCTGTGAAAAATATTTGAGAATGCTGTTGGTTGGAGTTGCAGTTTTTAATAGGGAAATCTTGGTAAGCCCTATTAACATTGTTACTTTCCAATAAAAACTTGGAGTGGAGAGATTTAGCCATGTGGACATCTGAGGAAGAGGATTCTAGGCAGAGGAAGTAACCAATGCAAATTTCATTTGAAGAGCGACGGAGACAGTTTGGCTGTAACTGAGTAAGCAAGGAGGAATATGATAGGAGAGGAAGTCAGTGAGGTGGTAAGGCTATAGATCATGTAGGGCCTTTTAGGCCATTGCAATTACTTAGGCTTTGATTATGTATGAAAAGATGAGTTGGTAGATGATTTTAAGTGGGGGAGTGGCATGATCTTTTTAAGATCACTCTGGCTGTTGTGTTGAGAATAGCTAATGAGTTGGAAGGTTAGGAAGCAATTGCACTTACGTAACTAAAAGATGATGGTTGCTGGATCAGGGTGGTGACAGTAGAGGTAATGAGAAGTTTTCAAGAGGTGGATAATGTTTTCAAGGTTGAACCAACTGAATATCCTGATGGACTCCATGTGTATGGCATGAGAGAAAGAGGGGAGTCAGCATAGGTGCAGAAGGTTTTGGGGAACAAGATTAAGAGTTCAATTTTGGGTGTATTGACTTTTGGCTATTAGATTTCCAAGTGATGATGTAAAGGAAGATAGTTGGATATCAAGTCTGGAGTTTAGAAAAGAGGCCTGTATCAAAAGTACAAATTTAGTAGTTGTAACATGTATACTTGGTAGTTGTACTATATATGTTTGGTAGTTGTGTATAAATGGTGTGTAAAGCCATAAGACTAGATGAGTTCAGCAGTGGAGTGAGTCTAGATAGAGACGAGGAGAGAATCAAAGACCGAGCCCTGGTCACTGCAACATTAAGAGGCTGGGGAGAAGAGAAGCAGTCATCAAAACAGGTTGAGAAAGAGCAATCAAATAGGAAGGGGAAAACCAGGAGATATGATGCCTTGGAAGCCAAGAGAAGAAAGTATACCAAGGAAGAGAGAGTGATCAGTGGTGTCAAATGCTGCTGAGAGGTCAAATGAGATGATGACTGAGAATTAACCATTGAATTTAGCAATGAGGAGGTCACTGGTAACTTGACTGAGCAGTTTCCTTGGAGTGCTTTTGGTGAAAGCCAGATTGGAATAGATTTAAGAGAGAATGGGAGGAGAAGAATTAGAGATAGCAAGGATGTAACTCTTTGAAGTTTTGCTGCAAAAGGAAGCTGAGATATGTGGTGATAGTTTCAAGAGAACGATTTGTGTGTTGTTGTTGTTTAACCTGAAAGAAAAAATGCATGGTGGTTTGCAGTTGGGAATGATCTAGTGAAAAATTCATGATTTTGAAGGGAGAGATGAGAATTGCTGGAGTAATGTCATTGAGTAGGTAAGAACGGATGGGATTTAGTTTACAATGGAGGATTGACTTGAATGGAAACGCAGTAGTTCATTTTTATAACAGCAAGGAAGATTGGTAGGTGGATAAATGTGGGGCTGAAAGTCTGGAAGTTCTTTTTCGATTGCTCCAATTTTCTTAGTGAAGTGGGAAGCAAGATTATCAGCTAAGAATGAGGATGGAGGTGGAGGTATGGATTTAAGAAGAGATTTGGAGGATTTGAGAAGAGAGTATAAGGCAGAAACAGTTAATTAGAAGAATGAAAATGTGAATGGTCTAGAGAATTGTAATATGTTTGTTGGGCAGCATTAAGGACCCACCTGAGGTTTGTGTTCATAAATTTAAAGTGAAACCAGTCAACATGGTTGTGGATTTTCTCCAGCCACATATAGCTGCGTAGGTGCAGAGTAGGCAGAATGTTGCGTTTAATCAGGGTTGTGGATTTATAAGGGAGTTATAGAGATTAAGAGGAATAAAGAAGTTAAGAATGTATGATAAACAGTTGTTGTTATTATTGACCATGGAATTTAAGCTGGATAAGGAAGGAAGAGTGGAAATTAAGGGGGTGATGGACAATAAAAAGTGATAGGATCTAAAGATTTGAAGGTTCCTATAGTGTCAAAGGATTTTTGGAGTCTGTATATTAGAGGAAATAAGCTAGAAAAATAGAAGCCAGCCCAAAAATAGGGTGAGTGAAATAGATATTATAGAGGAGTTACATTATTGGCAATGGCAAAGTTTAAGGTATGATTCTAGAAAATAGATTGGAGCACAAGTTCATTGGAAGACAGATGTTCAAGAAAATGAGAGTTTTAAGTGTTGGAAGGATCTTTAAGTATCTACTGAAGTTGCCAAGAATTAAAACAGGAGTAACACTGGTTACAGTGAGCCAGGAGCTCAAATGGTCAATAAACAAGGGAAAATATTTTCAAATTCAATAGCTGATAGCCACAGTAAGGGGTAGTGGGTATATAATTGAATGATAACATGTCAAAGCTGTGCAGACGGGAAAATGGTTTGAAAGCAGCGACAAGGAGGTAGTAAAATACTTGATTCCATCTCCAGGGCAGTGGGAGAAGGATAAGGGGGAAAATGGGGTAGGGAGACATGACTTAAGTTTAGAAGGCAAAGGGTAGCTCAGCCACCATTTGAGTGTTCTCAAGTGAAAGCCAAATTTCTGTTAGAATAAGAAGATGAAGAGAATTACCAAAGAATAGATTGAAGATGAAAATTGATGATGATGGACCATGAATTCCAGACAGCACAGTGGAATTTGGGGATAGAAGAGAAATAGAAGATAGAGGGTTGAATAGAAGTGTGCAGAAGCTAATGAGGATTAGAGAGAGAGATGAGGATTAAGTTAGGACCAAGATCTTATGAGGACTGACATAAACATAGACAAGGGGCATAATGAGATTTAGCCTCATGGACTTAATGGCAGTAGCAGAGATGAAACTCTGCCTGTTAAATGGTAGGAAGTGATGGGTGTCCTAGGCTTCCTCTTGACCTTTTTGGATGGAGAAGAGGCAGTCTGGGAAGCATAGTCTTTTTTCTCAGTGTTTGGAGATTCCCCGCTAGACCACCGTTGATAGAGTTGAAGTTCTCTGAGTAATGATTGTTGAATGAATGTTTAAAATTTTCAAAAGCCTGGTATGTGCCAAGACCTGTTACATAGGGCAGAAACCATTAGAAGGGTTTAAAGGGACAATGGGATGATAAGTGTTCAGGAATGGGATACGTAATTTTGGAAAGATCAAGAAAATCATGAAGGAGGGGGCATAAGAAATGGACTTAAAGATTAGTTAGCATTTTCCCTGATTGGGAGTAGGCGGGTTTCCATAGAGGAAAAAGATGTAGAAAAATCATGGCACATATTTTGGGATCACTAAGTATTTGAGTTTAGGACACATATAACATTTGAAGGCTGTAGTGTGGAGCTAGACAGAGGCTGAGAAAGTGATGGTAATTGAAGGATGGATGTTAAGTAAGGCAGTAGTATAATCCAAGTTGTCTCTTGGAAAGATCATTCTGGCAGTGCTGTGGTGGGTGGATCTGAGGGTGAGGGACTGACTATGAGATCAGCTTAGGTGAGAAAATTGAATCGACTCAGGGTAGCCTTTCTGAGATGCAAGGAGGAAGACAGAAGTATTGTAAAGGTAGAATCTTTACATGGTGCTAGTAAATGAAAAAGGTAATTTAGCTGGGAAAAGTCTTCTAATGAGTAAAACGTTAAGTTTTAGACAAGTTGAAGTATAAGTGCTTCAGAATTATTCAAATAAATAGAGGCCCAGCGGTAATCGTGTATATTAGTAATATCTTTTCTCAGCTCTATCTCTGATGTAATAGATGATCTGATAATTGTGGGGGGAAAAAAAGCCTTGAGAATAACAAACAGGGAAGGCTATAAAGCTCGAGTTTTCCTTTTTCTAATTTATGATGAATGTGTACTATGTTGAATTCATAGTATGTTTACTTTACATGAAAGAATGATCAATCATTATTTTTTAATAAATATTCATGAGTTGAATATTAGATTTAATAATAATCAATACTATTCATTACTTTAATATTTAAGTGTACTTAATAAAATAAAAAGTAAAAATATTAAGTAATACTTAAAATATTTAAAAATATTTTAAAGTATTTTAAAAACTTTAAATTATTTGTTAATAACATGTAAAATTTATACATCTTGAACTACTGTTTGAGTTACATTGATCTTAGAACTCTAAACTCGGTAACTAGCAGACTCCTAGTTCAGTTACTTCTTGCTCAACAATAGCATTGAAGCTTAATATAATATGATGCTTGCATCTTATGATTATAGCTATGTAAAAAATACACATGCACACATAGGAAAACTTGAAGCGTATACTAGGAAATAGCTGTTGTATTAACCTTATAGATCTCTGTAATATTTTGTTTTGTATTTATAATAAAAGAAAAATGACTTCAAACTGAAGATAAGGCATTTTAAGTCAAAATATATTCTAGTTATGGAATAAGGTTAGGAGTTGATATATTTGATAGAAATTATTTCATCACAGGGACACTAGCATTTGGGTCAGCACCTCCTCTAGGTTGGTACCTTTCAGAGACTGACAGCCTATGGCAGTGGCTCTTGATAGTCCTTTGTCTGCCTTGGGTCTGTTGCCTCTTCCCTATTCTCTACTCTTCCACTCTCCTCCGACTGACATAGGCTGTGCGGATCAATACCAACAGTCACTGTGCAGGATCTTTGTTTTATTTTTACAAAATAATGGATAATTTTTAAATCTAATAAAATTTAGAGCTTAGGACATAAAGGGAATTAGGTGGAGTAATACTTATGTGCTTCTGACAACGTCAATTTGAGTTTCTCCTTTTATCCTATTCTCTTTCAATTTTTCTTTTCCCATTTTCCTTTTCAGTTCTCCTCAAGCCTCAGTCCCCCAAATGGTTGGTGTGTTGGGTAGTATATTTAAAACTGAAGATTGGTAAGGGCAACATTCCCAATCTTTATATCCACTTAAAACTCTGAAAAAAGCTAACAGAGTGCTTTGATTAACTCAAAATGCATTATCATAGGCTCTCCTTGCAAAGATTTATGTGGCTGTCTTACACCCAAACAATAAATGTATTTGTATTTCCAGGGAAATTTTGGTGAAGTATATAAGGGCGTATTAAAGGATAAAACTGCTGTTGCTGTTAAAACATGTAAAGAAGATCTTCCTCAGGAACTGAAAATAAAATTTTTACAAGAAGCCAAGTGAGTTCTCTAATGTAAAATATGTATTTAATAATATAAATGACTCATCTTAAATTATGATTTGCTGAAGTAGAAGTAAGCACTTTCAGGACCCTTATAAGTAAGCACTTCCATAATATGGAAACAAAAAGTTGCTATGTTTTTGAGTTAAACTATAGATCAACTAGGAAGTCACAGTCAAAAGAACCAGATGCTAAAAAACAGTGAGTATTCTTCAAGTCCTTAAAAATAATGCAATATTGTTTACTTTTATCACACATGCCTATACATATATATGTGTATATACAGTGTTGTCTTAATAATAAAAATAATTACTGTATTCTATATGTAATATATATAGTTTACATATATATATTTAGATAAATAATTACATCTATCCTACCCTCCTTAGATATTATCATTTGATTCTCTTTTCTCAGCTGTTAGCTTTCTTTTCTGAGAACCTCAGATTTCTTCAACTCAGTGTCTGGCATTTGTTCCAAAATTTGCATATTTTTCTTTTCTAATCTTCTAGAATGATTGTCTTTTCTTGTATTATTAGCTAAAATTTGTGTTCCAACTTGCTACCCCTATACTGCAGATCGTTGAAACTATTCTGTTAGTGGTAAAATCTATTATATACAAAAAAACACAAAACACAAAACAAATGGAAAAGTGCTTTGGACAGAGTGAGGAGGACATATGAATGAGGGATGGATGGATGCATGGATGGATGGAAGGGAGGATGGGAGGATGGAGAGAAGGAGGATACATGGACCCATAGATCCACAGGTTTGTGGTGTAAAGGGAGGGAAGGAAAGGAGTGTGTGTGTTTGTGTGTGTGTGTGTGTGTGTGTGTGTGTTCTCCATCATGGCATAGTGTTGAAGTTTCTATAGAGAAAATTGAAGTTTCTGTAAAGTGCTATGGGAGAACAGAAGACATGGCAGTGAGAGAATTAAGTCCTGTGGCGTGGAGCATTTTGATGTACGTTTCTCCATTCATCATCTAAAAATGAATATAGTAATAGATTAAACTAGTTGGTTACATTTATTAAATACTATCTACAGAATAAAGTTGCAAATCTTTTTTATGTTTATTATTGGCAATTCAGAAAAAATGTTCTATGACAAATTTAAAGGCATACTATCACAATTGAAATTCATAGGCTCATTATTTTATAGTGATTCATAGGTATTCTTAAGGTACAAGGTTGTATCTAACATTATTTTAAAAAATATTTAATTTTTTTGCTTTCTAATTTGTGATTGTTTTATTGGAAAATAAAGACTTTAATTTCCTGTTCTAAAATGAGATTATGAAGTTTTATGTTAAAAATGAAGAGTATATCCATGCAAACTCTCTAGTGTCCTTTAATAGATGATAAAGCTATATATTTAGATATTTAATACTATTTGAGTTCATGCTGGCTGTTTTGTGGAATTTCCTTACTAAGCAGTTTCCAGCCTAAGAAATGAAATTTTGGATTAAAGTGAAACATTCTAAAACTTACTTTTTAATCCCTTGTAGAAGTTGTAAGCTCAGTTATTGACAGAATATTTCCCTTATCTCTAGAATTCTTCCCAGTCTATCTTTTCATTTATAAATCATTATATATTTTCAATCTAAAACATTTTTCTTAGAGCTATCTCTGCTTTAGTTGTACATGTGCAAAACATGTATAAACTGTTTTATCTTTCTCCAAATAGTTATTTTTTCAGTCTCTTAGGAAAGAAAACTGCATTTTTCAAATATGAGTGAATTTGTAACTATGTCAATAGGATAATATGGAATAAAATTTGGTAATAGAAATCATCACAATAGACAGGCCTCCGCGGGAATCTAGTCTATTTTTAATGCATGCTTGGAGTCCTATGGATGAGTCTATGCCGCTTTTATAGTCCCCTGATGACATTTTGCCTTTATCCAAACTAAATCTTCTCTGCTTCAGCTTAACTCTGTATTGAAAGTCTGTTACTCAATTATTGTTTAACCTGTTGCCAGCTTTCTCAAAACTTTTGAGTTTTTACTATTTTGAAATTGATCATGATCATCAAGAAAATATTTATTATGAAATCCAATGAAGTGATTACTCTAGAGCATTTACCAGTATGAATTAAATTATATTTTTATGTATTTTAAATCAAGTATGTGCATAAAACAAACAAAACAAAAAGGTGCTACCCTAGCAACTTACAGTTTTTGGTCAACTAATACTGTTCAGCTATGCTTTTGTGGTAGCGGCTAAAACCAGGTACTTTGAAGGGAGTTCTACATGTTTTAGACTAAGTTATTACTGTTTACCATGGGTTTTAGTCATTCAGAGTAGATAATAATTTTTAAATGAATATTTAATTGAATTAAGGAGAATTGACTCATTTGTTCCCTGTATTTTGCCAATATTTATAAAAACTTATATACATCACATTTATCGTAATTTGGGTTCACACTGAAGTTTTAAAAATTGAATTATGTTGATTAAAGTGTATTCTACTTGTGCACAGTATTCATGATCATAAATTAATGCTTTATTATTTAAATAACTATTCTTATACTTTTCTCTCATCCAGAATTCTCAAGCAATATGATCATCCCAATATTGTCAAACTTATAGGAGTTTGCACACAAAGACAGCCTATCTACATCATTATGGAACTGGTTCCAGGTAATATGATTTTAGAGGTTTCCTCAATGACATTTTAATGTCATGTTTTATTACTTTTATATGTTCAGTCTCTGATTTCTCCTTGTAAAGTTTCTAAGGATTTCGTTTAACATTTTCCTGATGACAAAGAGGTTGTACACACACTGGATATTTTTATAGTCTATAATACCGTGCTATTTTCTAGAAAATGTCAGCCAACCTTTTTTTAAAGAGAAGATACATTATTACAGTGCAGTTACACATAGAATTTAGTTATATATAATGTTTATGTGAGAAAAGCTGTTTAGAAAAAGTCTACTTAGTTTGACTTTATAACAATGATAGTACTATCTTTTATTTAGTTCATTGTATATCATTTTCCAAGTATGTTACCACACATCCTCTTGTTTGGTTGTATATAATAATTCCATAGTGCTTTGGGTCGCTTACAAACTGTGAACTTCTTTCATATATGGACAAAGAGAAAAGTAATCTGTCTAGGAATTTGTCCTTGTATTTATTTCTGGTGACTTTCAACAACTCCAGGTCTTTTGGTTAACAACTTTTGCCAACAAACAAGGATAACCTCGAACTGCTATAGTATATTTTTAAGTTATTTTCATTGTACATCTTTCTGTTGTAGAAAATCAGAGATAAGATTTACAAATACAGTATTTAATAACTGAAAAGGATTTGCTTTGTTACCTTTAACAATTTTTTACTCATTTTAAAAGAAACTTAAAGGAATATGAAAAATATTTCTAACTTTAATATACATTGAGTAAACGTGATATTGTAGACTGCCCGTTAAAAACTGTCCACATAATTCTTCCATCATTTAAGGATAATTGGTCCCATTTTATCACACTGGTTTGCTTGTTATTGGAATATTTCTTGATATTACCATATTACTGCAGGATTCCTAGATCATCATCATCCTCATCAAGATGGGATTGTCTGTTTTAGGTACATTGTATGTTTGTATGGTTTACGCTATTTATGATCTATGTCTTACAGTAGCTTTCAGTATAGTTATGAAAAAATGATAGTATAAAATTTTAAAAACAATTGAATAGCCTGTAATTTTAATTAAAATATGATATCTAAATATTGTAAATACATATAAACATTCACATAAGTCCAAATGAAGCCCCAGTTAATAAGGGATGTCAATGAGAAACTTAGATTTGAAGAGTAGGGCAGACTTGATGAGGAAAAGTGATTTTGGTCTTACCGTGGATGAGTAAAGGATCACGGATGACAAATTACAGATGGCAGCTCCAAGTAGAATAAAACAAAAGAAGGTAGCTTTGCGGGAGAACCAGGGAAGTGTTTATCTGGACACTGACTAGTAATGTCTGTTGATTATTTTTTAAATGAATGAGAATAATAAACTTCACTAGAAAATTCAAAATGTAATGAAAGGTAGAAAATTAAAAACGAAAACCTCGCACTCAACAGTCTAATCTGATCCCAAAGCTAATTGCTAGTTAGTTTTTTGTGTTTTTTTCCAGGAAAATGTTTAGTGCAGAAACCTTGATTTTATGTTGATCTTTTAAATTTAATTATAAAAATAATTATAACACTGTTTCAGATCTTTTTTTCTGTTATAAATGTAACTTATGGTTTTCATTGTTTCATATTCATCCATGTAGTTCTACCTTTTCTTTGTAATGGCTATAGATTTTTCCATTTTATGGATTTATATAATTTATCTAACTATTTATGGATACTTTGGTTGTTTCCATTTTTATTTCTTTTTTTACAAACTGCTCAGTGAATATCTTTGGACTCATAAGAATCATTTCAAAGTATATCTGTAGGGTCAGTTTTCAGCAGTGGTATTATTGGATCCGAGCTATGTGCATTTTGACTTATGGTAAATGTATTAGCTTTCTCTTGCTGCATAACAAATGATCACAACCTAGCAGCTTTAAACAATATCCATTTATTACACAGTTCTGTAGGTTAGAAGTCCAGGCAGGCTTGACTGGATTCTGTGCTCAGGGTCTTAAAAAGCCAAAAATCAGGATGTCGGGCTGAGCTCTTGTCTGGGGGCACTGGAGAAGAATCCACTACCAGGCTCCTTCAGATTGCAGAATCCTCTTCCTTGCAGCTGAGTAATGGTCTAAGGTTACCTTGCTCGCTGTCAGCTGGGGTCATCTCTTAGCACTTGAAGGTTTCCTACCTTCTTTTTCCCCGTGGCTCCCTCCATCTTCAGACCCAGCATGTCACATCCTTCAAGTGTTTTGAATTTCTCTAACTTCCTCTTCTGTTACCAGTTGGAGAATACTCTGCTTTTTTGAAAGGTCTCATATGATTAGATCAGGCTCACCTGGATAATCTCCCTATGGTAAGGTGAATTGTTCTGTATGACAACATAATTAGGGAATGATAGCTAATCACATTCATATGTTCCAGGGGGTAGGGTGGGACATCTTTGGGAAGCCATCTTTAAATTCTGCCTACCGCAGTAGATTTTGCTAAATTTTCTTAAAGGTCAGTTGCATTGTGGAATCTGAAACCATATCGATGAACTTTTCATACTCTATTGCACTAATTCCATTGCTTGATCGTGCAATTTGGATGTATCTTTTATTCATGCATGATTTGGTAGCATCATGCTTCATCACTGGAAAATATCAAGTGACCAGGTTATGCAGATCTTCCAAATAGTGACACAACTTATTATACAATATCAAAAGATCAAATTCATTAATGTCACCACTAGTCTCATCAGAAAAATAATGGCAAGCTATCAAGTTCATGGTGGCAAATACGTATTTTCCAAAATTTAGTGTTTATTTGAAAGCTTAGATTTTATCACTGGCAACAAAAACCCTCAGTTTTTTTTTTCTTCAAGTATTGGGCTTACTTCATTCATTTTTGAGAAAATCCCTGTCAAATATCTATTAGTATTTTATATAAATGGAATCATACAGACTGTATTCTTTTTTTTGTCTGGTTTGTTTCATTCAGCATAATATTTTGAGATTCATCCATGTTATAATGTATATCAATAGTTCATTCCTTTTTATTACTGAGTAGAATTACACCTTATGAATATACCACAGTTTATGCATTTAGCTGTTGATAGACTTTTGGATTGTTTTTTGTTTGGAGCTACTACAAATGAAGCTGCTGTGAACATCCATATACAAGTCTTTGTATGGACATATGCTTTCATTTTCCTGGGGAAAATACCTAGGAGTGGAATGAATGTACATTCATTCGAATACATACATTCATATGGAATGTACATGTTTAGATTTTTATGAAACTGAAAAATTGCTTTCTCAAGTGATTATACTAGTTTACATTCCCATCAGCAGTCAATGAGAGTTCCAATCCCTCCACATCCTCATCAACTCTTGGTCTGGTCGGTCTTTAGCCATTCTAATATTGAGGTAGATGTGCCTTATTGAGGTTTTAATTTGCCTTTCCTGGCTGACGTATGATGTTGAGCATCTTTTCATGTACTAATTTGCCATTCTTATCTTCTTTGTTGAAGTATCTGTTCAAACTATTTGCCCATTTTTTAAATTGGGTTGGTTGCTTTTTTATAATTGTCTTAGTTCTTTACATATTGTAGATACAAGTTATTTATCAGATATGTGATTTTCAAATATTTTCTCTCAGTTTGTGACATGTCTTTTCATTCTCTTGTGCTGTCTATTGAAGAGCAGAAGTTTTAATTTTGATGAAGTTTAAACTGTCAATTTTTTCTTTTATACATCACATTGTTGATGGTGTATCTAAGAAATCGTTGTCAAATCCAAGGTCACAAAGGTTTTCTCTTGTGTTTACTTCCACAAGTTTTATAGTTTTAGAATTTATATTTGAATCTATGATCCATTTCAAGTTAATTTTTGTGTATGTTGTGAGGAATGGTTTGAAGTTTATATTTTTGGCATAGGGATATCTGGTTGTTCCAGCACCACTTGCTTAAATGACTATCTTTTCTCTCCTAACTTTTTAACCTTCACTTTTCATATTATATATATGTAGATATATTTCTGGACTCTATTAATACTTTCTGTTTATCCTTTTATTTGTCTTTATGCCAATATCACACTGTCTTGATGACTGTAGCTTTATAATAAGTTAAAATCAGGTAATATTAGTCCTCTTTGTTTTTTTTTTCCCAAATTGTTTTGGCTGCTAGAGGTCCTTTGCATTTCCATGTTAATTTTAGTATTAGTTTTTCATTTTCTATATAAAAGTTTATTGGGATTTAGATTAGGATTACATTGAATCTCTAGGTCAATTTTGGGGTGAATAGAGATCTTAAGAACATTGAATCTTCTGACCCATGGACATAGTGTCTCTAGAAAATAGGTCTTTGATTTCTCTCAGCAAGGTTCTGTAGAACAGGTCTTTCCATCTTTTGTCAGACTTATCACGGAGTATTTCATTTTTTGTGGTGCTACTGTAAGTAATTTTTAAGTTATAGAAAATTTGAATAACCCTGTCTGTCAACTTGACCTACTGACATTTGCAGGATACTGCACACAACATCACCAGAATACACATTCTTTTCAAGTACACAGCGAATATTTACCAAGATAGACTATATTCTGGGCATAAAACAAGTCTCAATAAATTTATAAGAATTTAATTTCTGTGAACATAATGAAAATAAGGTAGAACTCAAGTACAGGAAGAACTCTGAAAAATCTCTAAATATTTAAATCTCCAAAAAATGCACATCTGAATAACCAGTGGGTCAGAGGAGCAATCAAAGTATTTTGAACCGAATGAAAATGAAAATACAACATCTCAGTATTTATGTGATGCCCATAAAGCAGAACTTAGAAGGATAATGATAGCACTATATAGCACTATATATAATTATTAGGAAAAAAGAAGGGACTCAAAAGAAATGACCTCAATTTCTACCTTGAAAAGTTAGAAGAAAAGTGCAAGTTAATCCAAAATATGTAGAAGAAAGAAAAAAATAGATAGTAGTGGAAATCAATGGAATGGAAAACATTAAAACAGAAAATCAATGAAACTAAAAG